CCCCCCCCCCCCCCCCCCTCCTGAATCAGTAAAATCTATGATTTTCAGGGGTTGTGCAGGTCCCAACAGGTGCAGAGCCGGCCCCCTCCCCTTGAAGAAAACAAATAATGCCACATCCCCCTCTGGACAAATTCCTGTGTATGGCCCTGATTGTTCTGAATTTAATTGCACTAAACACACTTATTTACTTGCAATGTAAACATCAACTTAGACAAGGTTATAATGCAAGGAAAGTTAATTGCAGTTGCGTATACTCTGCGTACATATTGAAACCAATTCTCTCTGGGCGGTATTTGTAAACAAGAATAGAAGCATCAGTGTTCATTTAGTATCCAAGGAGGATAAAAGCATTGAATTTTGAAAAATTTGTTAATTCACATAATGGTTTCCTATGACCAGAATATGTTATTGATTTTTTATGTGAAAGATGGATTCCATGTCAGGCTGTGACATCCGTTTTGTGTTTACATTACCGCTCAGAGACAGTACATTGCAGTATAAAAAATGCGTACAACTCTGAAATAACTTTCCTTGCATCATAACCTTGAACTTAGATATCTAATTTTGTATTAATAATCTGCCAGTTCTGTTAAACTTTTTTTTGGAGCAAGTTGTAATAATTTCTTCTCACTCTTCCTATTCACCACGCAACTTTCTATCCACCACGCAACTTCCTATTCACCACGCAACTTCCTATTCACCACGCAACTTTTTAAATTTTACAATGTAGTTTTTACAGCTAAAGAAATTTCATCAATTTTTCTAGTTCTTCAAAATCCATGTGTGAAATTGAATTAATGTGCTTACAACAAAACCCTTTTTTCCATTAGGCAATAAGATCTTTTCATTGTTTGATTGCATTAAATCTAAAAACGAAATATTCAGTACCCCCCCCCCCTGTCTCATCCCAAATATGTATGTGACAGTGAATTGCCCGCTAAATTATAGCTTTCTACATAGCGTTGAACTGCTTATAGCTGGTGTACTTTTCATCAAGAGTACATCTATTTTGAATTTTCCTAAGTTAACCTATTCCATTGAAGTATATTTTTTACCATTTTTGAAGAGCACATCTTTTAATAAAATATGTAATTTTGTTTCTTATCCGGACATTTCATTGGACACTTTGTACTTTTGGATACTATGTGATAATATTTTCTCCCAAAGTAAATAAGATATTACTATTGCGCAAATATATTCTAGTACTTTAAAGCCTTGCTGTCTAGGGGCTAGGTCGGGGGCAGGGAGATTCATAAAACATGTTGAGAGTAGACACCGTTACCTTTGTTTTATACTTCTGAACTCATGAGAGACTAAAGTAAAAGTTAAAGTATTTTTTCTTCATTAAATTATATACAATGATGATTTCAGTGGACTTTAGTTCCAAAACTAACACTTGACCCATTTCTAGCACTAAGTGTAGATTTGGGTTTATAGAATCCCGGCCCATATCGAGAGTAAAAATCGATGATTAAAACTATAACCAACATTTTATTAATGATGACGAGAACAACAATTCCCAATTTTAAACTATTTTCTGAAATCAAAATTATGAATGATGTTCTTTTTACATCAATGTTAGGTTTTCGATTTTCGAACTTATCCTGAATTTGAAACATTGTCGCGTTTTTGAAACAAAACCCACTTTTCCGTTTTTGAGTATTATCCGCTTTTCAGAAGAAGACTCACTTTCATAACTTACAAAATAAATCTGTGAAAGTAAAAAGTATCATATGAAGACTAAAGTAACTGCTAAATATTTCTAAAATCTTAGTTTCCACATTTTATTTGTTAAATAAGAGTTTAAAAATTATTTAATTTCCCGCATTTTTATTAAACAATTTCCAGCATTACTAGTAAAATCTTTATTGAAAGATCAAAATAATATTAATAATTTGATTTCCACTGCTGTAATAATTTTTTAATTTTAAGAGAATTCTATATTTTTATTTTTCAATTTTGTTTATCAACAAAAGTTAATTCTCACACATTATTATTAATTTCAAGTTGACATTTTTTGTTTTAGCCCATTTCTAACACTCAGTGTTAGAAATGCCCCAAGTGTTAGTTTTGGAGGTAATTTTTCCTGGATTTACTGGAGAACGAATTTTTAAAGGAAAAAATATTGAATTCCTTTTATCTTCGGTTTTGCTAATATTTTTTATGATAGATTTTTCGATTTGTTGTGCGTGTACTACATTAGTGTTTTTAATTCTATGATATTTCTGATTTAAAGGGTCAGACCGGCTATGTAAGATAGTTTAACGAGTTTGCAGTGTTGTGGACAAATTCTTTTGGATTCATTTGAGACATATAAAACTTTTTAAATCCTGAGTTTGAGCGCAAAGTCGACTTTCAAAATGGTACTTTTGGGTGGATACGTTTTCAGAAAAGTAAACAAACTTCTGCAGTAAACTAATTATCTCGATTTGTTATTTTTTCCAAATCCACCAAAAATAACAGGAAAACCTGCGGGATTTGTATCATTATTCTGCAACAAAAAGCTAAGATAATGAACTGAGAGATGCGCGAAGCGCTCTTTAAATATGTTTTAGTTTATATATGTGTTCATCAATTAATCGATTACAGTGTAAATACAACTGTCAGGCAGTAACTACTCTCTCTCTCTCTCTCTCTCTCTCTCTCTCTATCTATCCTTTTGACTTATATGGTTACGATTCTTGTCATATTTAGTAATTCATATTTTATTAAATAAGAGCTCTGATCGAGTTGATCTGTGTAAGGGTTAACCACCAAAAAAATCCAACACCTTAACACTGTTAAATTAACTCTTACTATATAGTTGGTTTGAATTCAATAAGCGTCAAATAAACAATCGGATCCAATTTTTGTGACCTCGGAAAGGTTAATGTACGGACGGTGTAATGTACGGACGGTGTAATTAAAAAAAAATTGCCCTAATAATTTAAAGATTTTTTAAAAAGTTTGATAATCTCCACACCAATATAAACAAGAAAATCTGGAAAATAAAAACATGGAAAACAAAAATGTCTACTTGACAGAAAAGTTTAAAAGCTAAAATTGTTACTGCAAAAAGGGGTAACGCCCTAAAACCCGGTATTTTTATAAATAAACAAAGTTATCTGAGCCTCTCTCTCTATCTTTCTTTCTATCTCTTTATCTCTCTCTATCTTTCTCTCTGTCAGCTGAGTTTAGAAAGGCCCCGGTGCCTCTAGTAGTAAACTCACTCTCTGCTCTCTATACAGTCGATTCTTAACCTTCTTTTCAGTTAAACATTAACACATTAACAGTTAAACATTTACACATTGACACATTAACAGTTAAATATTAACACATTTTTACACACTAACAGTTAAACATTTACACATTAACAGTTAAACATTTACACATTGACACATTAACAGTTAAATATTAACACATTCACAGTTTAACATTTACACACTAACAGTTAAACATTTACACATTAACAGTTAAACATTTACACTTAAAGAGTAAATATTAACTCATTATCAGTTAAACATTAACACATTAAGAGTTAAGCATTAACACATTAACAGTTAAATATTAACACATTAACAGTTAAATATTAACACATTAACAGTTAAACATTTACACATTAACAGTTAAACATTTATAAAGAGTTAAATATTAAAACATTAACAGTTAAACATTAACACATTAACAGTTAAACATTAACACATTAACAGTTAAATATTAACACATTAACAGTTAAACATTTTCACATAAAAAGTTAAATATTAACACATTAACAGTTAAACATTTACACATAAAAAGTTAAATATTAACACATTAACAGTTAAACATTTACACATAAAAAGTTAAATATTAACACATTAACAGTTAAACATTAAAACATTAACAGTTAAACATTAACACAAGGATTTTGAAGAAGAAATAATGGGGACAAAATAAAAATACATTGCATTAATTGTGTTTTTTTTTTGTTATTTATTTAGAAATTAAGCACAAATCTATGAATATAGCAACAAAAAAATTATTACATTTGTTTTAATAATTGATCTGAAAATTGTCAATTATGAATCGACTTGACATTTTGCCTTGTCACTTTTAGATGGAGAGTATAGTGAAGAGATTTATTTTTAGTTGCATTAAAAATCAATATATTTTATAATCTAGTTTCTATAATTCTTAAAGGAATTCCATCAGTTAGCGTTACTAGGGTTTCCGTGTTTCCAATTCAACCACAAACCTTCAATATTTAATATCTACTGCAATATATCAGCTTTATATTTAAGTGTAAAAATATCAACCAATAAGTACAAAATTTTCAATTTCAAACTTTTCATCTTGAAGGAATTAAGTCTTTGCCACAAACTTTGTTTTTCTAATAACTTATTTTTGCGATCCAATATTAAAGATCTTAGATATTTTCAACTATTTATAATTCTGAACTATTAATCAAATAATCTGAGTTTGAAATTTCTATGGTTTACCCCATCCTAGGCCTCAAAAATATTGGAATACGAAATTTGTGTTTGTGTCAGAGACCCAATTTCTTTACTTGGTTGTAATATCGTGCCTGCCTAAGTTTTGTCAAACATTTTCAAGCTTAAAATCCAACATCATTATCAAGCATCCCATAAATATATAAATTCTATAGAAATCCTTTAGATTTTCGAGCTTAAAAATATGGTTCTACCAGGGGCGTATTCAGGAATTTGTCCAGGGGGGGGGCTTAAATTTTTNGGCCTTTGCACCCGTTGGAGTCTGAAAACCCCCTGAAATCAATAGAGTTCACTGATTTAGGGGGGGGCTTAGCCCCCATAGCCCCCCCTGAATACGCCCCTGGGTTCTACTATTAAACCAGTGGGTACTTAATGTTACTAGTCGTGGCATAATGGTTGCAAATGCAAGAATTGAAGAATGATTTGAAAATCCTAAAAAAAACTAAAATTGAGAAGTCAATATCATTACAATTAACTGGACCTGGGCTAACTTTTATAATTGTATTTATTAGAAAACTTGATGATTCTTCCCTTTTTTTACATACATCTGCTGTCATACATCTGCTGTCATACATATGCTGTTTCAATAATCGTTTTAAAATATGTGGTTTAAATTCTTCGGTCGTCTACACAAACTTTAATTAATCTGCTGGCACAAATCTTTCATACAAAATAATTCTTTAAATAGAATAAAATAATGTTGAAGTGACAAAAATATTTTTCTTCAATTCTGATAATTTTTTTCGACTGACAAAGAATGAACAACCAATTTACTTTATTTTTGTTAATTCACAAAACTATGTATAATGTGTGTACTTTTAAATAAGATTATAATGACAGTATTTTAGCAGATTCCCCTAGAGCCCATTTTATACTTTACTGATAACAATGAATGAGCTAAGTGCCTAAGTATAACTATGATCTTTGATCCTTGGAAACCCCAGGTTCCATATATTTAATTACATCTGACGCACATTGCTTCAGCAAACTTGTTTATATTTTCAAATGCGTCATTAATCTGACGCTTGCTTTGGGAACTAGATATCGTGCAACCCAGATAAAGTCTATCGTTTCTTAAATACTGAATAGAAAGTATAATGGATTCACTTACCCTGGACTAGATGCGTTCGGCTTTTTCAATTGTAATTTAACTACGTTGGGTATATGTAATTTATCCATTTTTAAATTAACAAAATTATCTTTGCTTACTTTTGATTTAAAGCGCATCCGCCGACAAAAAAAAGTACATAAGAGAATAAGCGAAATTTGCGATTATTTGATAAAATTGTGATCGAAACTCACAGGACCGAACTGTAAATTCAGTCAGCACTCAGCACTTTAAACTTAAAAAGTATGCAAGCGGAAACTTTTGTTCCGATTTACTTCATTCTCTTACCTTTACTTGATAAAAACACTAGCTTTATGAATATATGGATTTCATTTTTCACAGAATCAGTTTTTTCGATTAGCACTTTGTCAACTGGCCCATCATTTGGAAACCTTATGATAACCATGAATCATGTAAACTAACAAAATATCCATTTAACTTGTAACTTTCTGATGGAAATGGGAACATATTTTTTTAATTTTTAAGGTGGATACAATAAAGAGACGATATTTATTTTGTTATGTGATATATAATTTTTTTTCAGATGGTTTCATTTATATCTTTATGACATTAAAAATGGTCATGGCGGATATGAACAGAAATGAGGTAAATATAATATCTAAAGACAAAATAGAAAAAGACAAAATGATAATAACAATAATAATAATGATAAAATATAAAGAATAAGACAAAATGATGATAACAATAAAAATAATGATACCCTAGACTGAGTCTGGTTCTACCCTACGTGTTGGTTTCTACGAGATTGAACGAACAATAGGGAGAGGCAACTTTGCTGTGGTAAAACTAGCAAAACATAGGATTACAAAAACACAGGTTTTTATACTTTGTTCTTATAATATTTTTTCTTTTGTTATTCCTTTAACATTTTCAAAATTCCAATTTGGAAATATTTACTTTTTATCGATGATGTTTTAACAAACAAAAACTAACAAATATTCCCGAAAATGTTTAGAAAATCAAAATTGATCCAATATAAATACTGACCAATTTGTTTCAATAACTGACTTGTATTTATATATTTGGCTTATCTGTTTTTATCTGACAAGTATTAAAACGGCTGAACCAATCAGGCCCAGCTTTTTGGGGTATCCGATGGATGGTTTGTGACCGGTCAAATATTAAAGATTTGGCCTGCACAAAATTTTGATTGAAACCAAAAAATATAAACAATCAAGAGATCAAATAGCGGCACAGAGAGTTATTTTCTTAATAAAACTATGAATATATGTTAGTTTACAAAAAGGTTTGTTTTCTCTTGTTGCATTGCTGTAAAAAAACATGTTTTTCTCACAGTTACGACATCGACCAACAATAATGCATGTTAATACACACAAATCCGAGAAAATAAAAGACTCATAGTTTGACAACGGTGACACTTGTAATGGTGGATCAAAAAAAAAATTTTACAGATCTTAGTTGTGTTTCTACCTAAATTTTAACTAATTTTAATTATTTAAAATTTAAAAATAATAATTTTACGCAGGCTTTCTACACTTAATTTTGCATTTTCTAGTAAAACCTATGACTAACTACAAGATTTTATATTCTTAATAAAATTAAAAATAATTAGATTTTTCTATACGCTAACAATACCATTGTATTCATTTTAATAAAAAAAATTTTCCTGCCGTCTGCACTCTAATTTTTTAACTTATATAAGCGTAAAATCTGAGCGATCGAAACTGCAGGTGCGTAAGTTTTGAAGTTAATTGGATTTATTGGATATATTAAATATGTTGGATATATTGGATATATTAAATATATTGGATAAATTAGATATATTAAATATATTGGATATATCAAATATATTGGATATATTGGATATATTTGATATATTGGATATATTATATATATTGGATATATTAAATATATTGGATATATTGGATATATTTGATATATTGGATATATTATATATATTGGATATATTAAATATATTGGATAAATTGGATATATTGGATATATTGAATATATTGGATATATTAAATATATTGGATATATCCAATATATTAAATATATTGGATATATCCAATATATTAAATATATTGGATAAATTAGATATATTAAATAAATTGGATATATTGGATATATTGGATATATTGGATATATTTGATATATTGGGTATATTAAATATATTGGATAAATTGGATATATTGGATATTTTGGATGATCAACATTTTTTTTAAATTTTAAAGCTAGTATTTAATACTGTGTTTAATAGTATCCTGAATCTGACTCATATACTGAAGGCTGACATCAGGGCAATAAAATTACAGATGTTTCTTTAACTTTAACATACACAAAATGCAGGGATAAATTACATTCTTCTCATTCCAAGAAAAAACTTTCATTTTTAAATGTTTAATGATTTTACAATGTTTGTTTTCGGTCGTCCTGAAAACTATGCAGAAGATCTAAACTAATTATATTTTAGGTTGCAATAAAGATCATTGACAAGTGTAAACTAGATACCTGTAATCTTGCCAAGGTAGTTAATAATTTAGTGTACAGGAAGGATTCACAAGATTTCCAAAATTGGTCTAGGGAACCTGTCACTATAGATCCAGACTGCTTTGAACAGTTGCATCAATGTTTACGAATGGATAGACTTCGAAGTGTCGAACGCCTTGGCCTTTGATTTGACCTCACTGGAAAGAAAAATTGTAGCCCAGACAAATAGATTTCAGAACTATAAAGCACTTCTTTTTTAAAATTTTCAAAATTTTTATTTTCCGAAAAAGTAGTTGTGCACAATTCTAAAGAGATAAAATTGCCCGATTTTTTTAACGAAAATAATGGGTTGGTAATAAGTGTCAAAAGTCGGTCTGACAACGTAAAACTTTAATACTATTTAGGCTTTATTTAGTATAATCTCAATTTCTTAAAATTTCGTCATTGTTATCTGACCGTTTGAAAATAATGAAGATTGTGAATTGTGATACGTTGTTTGAAAATTAGCTAATTTGGTTCATTTCTTATTTATTTTTCCAATGAATTGCAGCTTTCTTTCTGGAAAAGAAATGAATAGTTTTACCAAAATAAACTCTCATTAACTATTTATGTATGTGGTCAAAGGTCGAGGTGGAATATTTGGAAATTAACCGAGCATTTTAATTTTTTAAGTTAGGTTAAAAATAGAAAATCTCCAAACAGAATTTGAAAAAAGAAACACGATTGGAACAAAAGGTTGCCTACCTGAGAAAAATAATTGATTGCATTCATACATTCATGGATATACAATTGGTTATATTTCAGTTTCTTGGAAATTATAAATCTTAATTTTGAATCTGAGACATGATTTATAATCCTAAAATTATCTAAAAATGGTTGTCTAAAGAGAAATTAACTATTTTATAAACGTAAATTTGTTTGTTTGGCAGGTTTACCGAGAAGTGAAAATATTAAAGATGATCTCACATCCTAACATAGTAAAACTGTATCAGGTAACATACATTTATAATTTGATTTTTGTTCTTTTTGTTTGTATCCAATAAACGTCGAAACGGCTGAACCTAGATCAGCCCCATTTTTTTCCAACTTATTTAACCCAAGAGAATGTTTATGTATGTTTAAATTTGAAATTTTTTGTCTGGGTTCGAATTTAAAGAAATTGGAGAAGTCGCTGAGCATGGAACCACCGATTCAAATATTCATGAATTTTTATCTTTGAATCTGTGATTTGAACCAACGTTAGGTAGTTCAGAGAATTCTTTCCAATTCATTAAATTCTGACCCTGGGAAAAAATGTCGACACATGAAATTTTTGAAAATACGCCAATTTAAAAAAAAATATTCCGCAAAAATGTTGCTTATTGCTGAGTTTTCTTCTTAAAAGATTTTTTAACCTAAGACATTTTTTTTAATAGTTCTACAAGAAAAAAATGTTTAATAACGATGTTTAAAGTTTCCAGTGTCGTTAATGATTCTTTAGCTGAAATTATATTCTATAGATAAAGGAATTAAGTCTTTGCAACAAACTCGATTTTTCTATCTCTATTTCGTTGCAACCTGATAGTGCAATTCTTTGATATTTCAAACTTAGATTATTTAAGGTAACATATTTCAAAGTTTGAAATATCTAAGTTCTACAACATCGGGTTGCAAAGATATAAGGGTTAGAAAATTTGAGTTTGTGAGCATGACAAAGAATAAATTCCTTAGATTTGAATTTCTAGGTGATGGAAACCAAATCAATGCTTTACCTAGTATCTGAGTATATACCCAACGGAGAAATTTTCGGTATGTGCATTTTTTAAAACTTTTTTTAATCAAAGATCAAAAACTAAATATTTTAATTTTAGAATACATTGCTCGGTACGGAAGAATGTCTGAACCTCTGGCTCGAAACAAATTCTGGCAAATAATCGAAGCTGTTGAATACTGTCATAGAAGGTAAAAACGTTTTTAAATGTTCTTTCGTGTAAGAAAACTGTAGACAAAATCAAAATAGTAGACAAATTGTCCATGATTTCTCTTTTTAGAAATGTACTCATTTCAATTCATGTTTCTCTGTAAAGCTAACTTACGGATTTCTTCCTACAGAAACAGAGAGGAAATTGTTCAATCAAGGAAAAAGACAAAATCTTTCACATTTTTGATCTAATAGCGGTTTCAAGGGTACCGTTGTGTTTTCTTTAAATCTTTTAAGGGTCTTTTTAAAATTACAACATTAATCTGGCTAAGAGGGGATGTCGCGTATTGCAATGACTTTCGATCACAATTAAAAACAAAAGCTTTTACTTTTTTCTCTCATATTTTTTCTCGAATATGTTTTAATTAAAAATGTAAAATATAATTGTTGATGATAAGACCAAAACGCGAGTAAATTGAAATTATTAGTTTAATTACTTCAAATCAACTGGTTATTGTAAAAATGCCATTCTTTTTATTTTCAGGAAAGTTGTTCATCGTGATTTAAAGGCCGAAAACCTGTTACTAGACGCGGATATGAATATTAAAATTGCGGATTTTGGGTTCTCTAATTTCTACCGGGAGGACGGCCATCTTGAAACCTGGTGCGGATCCCCACCCTACGCAGCTCCTGAGGTCTTTGAGGGGAAAGCGTACAAAGGACCTGAAATAGATATTTGGGTAATTTACATTTTTTATTGTTTTCAATGAAAATAAAACTAAATTATTAAAAGGGGGAAAAGGAAAATTGCAATAAAATCATCGCTCTTTGATTAGTTTCTAAAAAACACTAGTGATATAAATACTACCAAGTAGTTTTCCAATTAACTACCAAACTGTAAAAAAAAATTATATATTTCTTGATCCTTAAACAATAAACATACATATATATATCTAGACTGCATTGACTAGCTATATATATGCATATATATATATATATCTCAAATTTAGCAGAAACTATTAGCTATGAGACACATTTAAATAAGCATTTATAAATGGCGAAAAATGTTAACTTGAACATGGTATTTGCCCAAAGCCTAATTTATCTATTTTTAACAAAAAAAATCCAGTTCGTCGGATGCAGTAGGACGTATTTTACGATAATCATAATCAAGAGGGTAAAAGAAAAAGTCATTTTATTTAAGTCTGGGAAAATGTTTTAATGTTGATATGGGTGTAGAATTATTTACATTGTGTATTGAGGCTAGAACAAAACGTGTTTCCGAAAACATTTGATAAATGAGGCCGAACAAGAAAATACCATGTAAAAGAGTTTCATGAAAAAAGAATGTTCTGAAGTAAACAACGGACACTAGTCAAACTATTTATTGACTCCCTATATTTTGTAGAGTTTGGGTGTAGTACTGTATGTTCTGGTGTGTGGAGCTCTGCCTTTTGACGGAGCTTCTCTACCTCTTCTCAAGGAGAGAATTCTATTCGGCAGATTTAGAATTCCATTTTTCATGAGTTCAGGTGACCAATTTATTATTTTTAAATCATTATTTAAAAACCGATTCTCAAAATAATTCCTTCAAAATTAATAATCAATGATGTTTTCAAGGATTGTATTTCGCTCTTGTTGAACAAACATGCACTGTAAAAACGTCTCATAGGTCTCAAATGAATCCTAAGAAATTGCTCTACAATGCTGCATTCTCAGCTAAACTGCCAAGTCTAGCCAGACACCGCCTTTAAGCAGAGACGTAGAATAGATGTCTAGTCTGCGTGTATATTGATATGTTACCGTAACAAATCGTAACATTTTATTGTAATATAAAGAAAAAATGTGATCCTTGTATCCCGACACTCCCCCCTAGTAGATACATATTATTCATTATTTTAAAATTTAATATAATTTTAGTAATCATTTTTTATTTGTATATTTGTTTTCACCGTGCTTTTTGTTTTAGAATGTGAAACACTGGTCCGTCGTATCCTTGTAGTTGACCCTAGTAAACGATATTCTTTACAACAAATCAAGAACAGTGCTTGGATGCAGGCCCAGGTAAAGCAAGAACAGTGCTTGGATGCAGGTCCAGGTAAATCAAGAACAGTGCTTGGATGCAGGCCCAGGTAAATCAAGAACAGTGCTTGGATGCAGGCCCAGATAAAATAGGCTGAAGTGGGGGAAGGAAAAAATGTTTGAAAGGATGAAATAAGCAATGAATTCCTCTCCGCCAAACCCCACTTTTCTTCCGGTCAGTGTACTGCACATCAACGCAGCATGTACCGAAAGCTTAGTTTAAGGTGTTATATATTGAAATAGTACATTTTTCAGTTTTACTGTGTAAAATATTCATGTGTGTATACTGCTCAAAGTTTATCTCCTGATTGGTTAGATTTGCCTTCCGACCGACAAGGCTAGTAATTAGGACAATTAGGACAAACAGAGAACGAACGATGGGGGATCAAGTAACCATGCGCTTTGTATTTGTACTTTTCGATGAGCAAGATCTGTCCTCGTCCCTTTACGATATTTTACTCATAACGTTTTGATGAAAATAAAACATGCATGACTCCATGTGCACACTGAAATTTTATGAAAGCAATGCAAAACTTATGTAAAAATGATTTTCTCCGAGTATTCTATTAAATCCTGGATAATTTTCGTTTGATCAAAATGTAATCTACACTAATTGTAGGAAGAAACGATGTAATATGATAATTATTATTTTTATGATAAAATTACTTTCTTGGCTGGGTTGATTATTCAGGGGAAAAATAACTTGAAATGTTACACCAATGAGAAAAAATCTGAATTTAGTGGAAAATGTCTAATCTAAAACTCGAATCATATATTTAGGCCCCTTCGCCCAAATCTTAGCAAAAGGAAAATATCAAATTATTTCAAAATACTGGTATGACTTTGTGACCTTGGATCTCATCTAGTTTTGAGTTTACACCAAAATTTGTTGGTTCTTACTTCATTTAAAGAAAGAAGATAAGATTGAAAACTTTTATAACATTTATAACATTCTTGGAGTTACAGATGCTATTTTGTATATCGGTCAAAACTATTCTTTAAGTTTGCTAGTCTTAAAAAACCTGAAATTATATTTTAATGAAATCCATTTCAACAGGGTAAATCAAACATCATAAACATTTTAGAAGTTCTTTGTATACTTCCCCTTTACCAGTAGTAAAATAAAATGTTTGCAAATCCTTTATCTAATATTGAAGTTGACAAGAATTGAAATATTGGACGTCATAATTAATTTTGATTACGTCATAACCGCTGAATTAAACTTCTGAATTTAGAAACTGAATTAAAGAAACGGTAATTCTAACCTTTATATTTCATAAAAATTAGCTTTATCTATAATGTGATTAAGCTCTTCGCCCTATATATATATATATATATATATATATTTACATGTAAGTTGTAGCTGGTGAAACGGCTGTACCAAATTGGCTGACATTTTTTTAAGAAAACCCATTGGTATCCCAAAGGTAGCTTAGGCTAAAAATCTTTTATTTTTCAAGATGCTGATGGAACATTTATTTTTATAATGTATTAGATAGTATTAAATAATGTAGCGGGTGGTTTCGATCTTTCATCCTGATCCCAATATATCATTTAGGTTCCCGTTTCCCGAGCTCAATGTGACAGTTTAAATGATGAGCTGAACAGATCTTCTGAGACTAATGAGCTACACCTAGCTCCTGATGCTGATGAGCTGAACCTAGCTCCTGACACTGATGAGCTAAACCGAGCTCCTGTAAACGAGCAGATCTTGAGACTGATGCAGTCTCTGGGAATAGATCCAGTTAGAACAAAAGAGGTCGGATTTAACATTATTTAAAAAGTATTAAGAATTCAACGTCAACGACGACACTAAATTATCCAGAATTAAATTTTTCACAAAAAAAAAAAATATTTTTTTTGCCCTTTAAATTCTGCAGCTACGAATGATTTTTTAAAAGCATTATGCAAGATTTCTTTTATAAGATTTGTTATGGCCACAAACTAATGCACATTTTTGATGGCATATTTAAAACTGTAATACGAAAGAAAATTAATGTTTGCCGCAAACTCTTGACAACCTTAAAATGTAAACCTTTGATATTTTTAACTTTTATCATTTGATCTTACAGAATTAGTAGTTTGAAAAGTAAAGGTCTTCGAATTTGTGTTTGTGAAATATACGGATTCTTCAGATATTAGTAAATAAATCAATTTCCAAATGGAAACTATTTAGGTTGCTATTGTATTTGAGAATCCTTAAAATATGCACTAGAGGAAAAAGTTATGAAAATATCAAAATTAGGGGTAAGGGGGGCCTAGCTTCTCAAGGGGGGAGGAGGGTAGTCATCTTTGTGAGAAAAAAACTAGAAGTCTACTGAGGATAAATAGGGCGAACGGTGAAAGATTTGAAATTCTAAGATTTCCTAATACTAAAAAATGATAAACCCCCTTTAGCAAATAACTACAGTTGCGCCTTAACAGGGGCGGATACAGTATTTAAGTGAGGGGGGGGTTATTTTTACCAAACAAGGATTAGTATTTTATTTTTTCATAAACTGCATCTTCAAAAAATTAAAAATATCACAATTTTTTATATATTTTCTACATTTAAGTTTTTTTTTGGCTAAAGCAAATAATAATTGATACGGATATTTTTAATAAAGAATCTAATATAGATAAGAGAGTAAACAATAAGCTGCGGTGTAAGATAAAGTTGTTCAAGCTAAAAGTATAAAAGAAACATTGAGATCAGATGTATGTTTAAATTGCATGAAATGAATGAGTGTTAGATATGGGGGGGAGGGGGAACTTTACACAATAAGCATAGACTTTCTGCTTATAAATATCAACATAATCTTTTTTGAGCCAAAAGCTTACTTTTTAAGTACACTACGTCTTATTTTTAGAGAAAATTATTGTGAAAAATAAACTGTTGTTTATTTGTTTGGGTTTTGAGATTTCCTTTTGTCAAAAACTTATGATTTTTTTTTTATAAATTTGTGACCAACACTTTGAATCATAATGGAACTATAACGTTATTCAATTTGATGAATAAAGTGAAGGTTTAGCTGATGACTAGCTTTTCTTCGGAACATTTACTACTAAGAAATCATGTTGAAAAGTAATCTTTAAAATGGAAACAAATTACTACGCAACTTATTTCTTCAATTTTACGTACTTACATTTCACAGGGGGCTCCTTCAAGAAAAAGCTTGTGAGAACGGAAATTTACAGGACAAAAAAGATACAAATAATGAAAATCTTAACAACAAATTGTAGATAAAAAAATAGTCTATATTCTAATTTGAACTTAAAAACCTTTTATCTTTATCTTTGAAAGTTGGATATCTTTAAAATGTAACTAAAGACCTACAAATGAAAAATTTTATTTTATTTCAGTCTGTGATGAAGGACTGGTATGATCACTACTCAGCTATTTACCATTTACTTGTGGAGCGACTAAATCAGCAGAAACAGTCTGTGGGAAAAGGTCCGACTGACGTGAAGAAAAGGCGCCCAAGTACAATAGCTGAACAGCCCCTGAAGGGAATTCCTTGCACGGAGAACCTTCAAAGCCTTCGCCTTCGAACCACAAGCGAATCAGAAAAAGAGGCGTCAAGATCATCTTCTCAAATGCGTAGTGGAATGGGGCAGACTGACTTCACCTGCATCACTTGCGGGCAACAAATCCTTGAAAATACGACTAGCACCACCTCTTGTGCCAAGTGTGCTCGACTTAGGACCCGGAGAAAGAATTTCGCACATCCAGTCCAGGGCAATATCCCTAGTAATAGCCTAGGACCCTGGAGCAGTAGGGATAGTGGGGATAGCGGTATTAGCAGCCAGGATTGCGGGGAACTAACTCCTACAGTGGAACGACCACCAGCATTTCCCCGGGCTTGTCTCGGGCAGAAAGAACATCAGATGAATAAGCTTGTGCGGAAGCTATCTGAGATCGAAGGAGTGGATCACAGTAGCATATATCGTTCTATAAAAACCTCTGTGGATGAAGGAGTAGAACTAAACTTTTCAGATTCCACATTATCCGATTCTTCTACTGGATGTCTGAAAGGAGGACCTGCTCCACAGACTGCTGGAAGTAGAATGAAAGTGGAAGATGGTAAGGAATATCTGAGTAGCAGTGCTGCTAGTAACTCATCTAGCAATTGCGAAAGTATTGGAAGCTCTAACCTAGACTCAGGATGGACCCAGAGCTTACCCTCCTGTTCTCAGTCTGGTTCTACACTTCAACCAGACCAAGCCCAGGTTCAAATGTATAGAGGAGTCAGTAGATACAATCCCATAGCTCCTCATCTCCTATCAAGCGGATCAGCATATGATCGCAGTCTCACAAGATCTCCAGTTCACTTTAGAGAAGGTAGAAGAGCATCGGATGGTTTGGTTGCTCAAGGTATAGTAGCTTTCCAACAAAAACTCTATGAGCAAGATAACACTGGGGGAATGATTCAACTCCAGGAAGTTCGAGAGGAAGCACTTAAATTGAAAAACCTGTTTTCAGAATCAAAAACTGAAGACGGTAAACCTTCAGGAAGAGCTGGTATATCTAAGCGGATAAGTGTGCCTGAAAACTTTGTTTACTTTCCCCCCACAAAGCATCTTGCCCTGCAACAGCAACTGCTGCAGCATAAACTGCTGCAGAAAAGACAAATATTACAGAAGCAGAGATTTTCCCACGGAGATACTCTGACTGGGTTTCGAAGAGCACCTTATGGCAAACCTTACATGCCGACAGTAGGGCTTCCATTGGCCCAGCAGGGATCAGATTGTCTGTTTCAACCAATAGCAGAGGATGAACCGGGTTTAGATTCCCTGGACTATCTCAAGAATACTTTAACCCAGTCTGCTTCCTGTGGTTTAGTAACATATACAAACAGTAATGTGAATGAGACAACTCTTGATGGTCTACCTCGTGATATAGAGACTATATGTACACTGTCAGATTCACCAAGTAGATCACAACAGTCTTGATCATTTTGCAAACATTTAGGATTAAATATATACGTAGCGAGGTCAAGCAATATTGCCTTAATCCTCACTAGTTATTTATCTTAGGAAAAAGAGAACCTTAAATCTTATTTTCAACCAATATTTAGGATGTCAAAAAAATTACATTTAAATAGTTTTGAAAAAAATAAGATGTGTGTATGTTTAGCTAGAAGCAAAATACACGAAAAAGGTTCGAAAATTTTATTTAAATTTTAAAAATGATGCAGATTTGTTTAAAGTAGAAGTAAAGTAATACAATGTAACCACTCTGTATAAAACTTAATGAATAGTTATATCAATATTTCAAATGCTGAAAAGTCAAGAATTTAACGAAGTTCTTTTTAACAACGATATGAAAATGAGTAAATTAGTATAATATAACGTCTTATATAGATATATATACATAAATGTATAGAAAATATATGTTAGGAAGAACAAAATTAAAATTCCCCCCATATCATTTTATTAAGAAAACTATTATAGCAAAAAAATGTAACTTGCATGATTTGAAATATTAAATGAAATATTATGGCTAAAAATAGCCACTTTACATTACAAATTTATTTATGATAAAGGAATTATTAGTCTTTGCCACAAACTTAAGTTTTCTAATCTTTATATTTGCAACCTAATGGCCTACACCTATGAAATTTCTAACCTAAATTATTTGATCTAACAGAATTCATAGTTTTAAACATCTAAGGTCTACGACATACATATCGGGTTAAAAAGATATAGGGATTTATAGAAAATAAGAATTTGTGGCAAAGACTCAATTCCATTAGAAATTTAACTAAGTTTGAAAATTTTTGAATGCATTCTAAAATATGATGTTTTCATTGAAGGTAGAACTAAAAAGAGGACATTTTTACATATTTCTCTGACGCCTAGGACAGCTCAGAAACTAGATTTATTTCAAATAATAACAAAGATTATATACAAGACACTGTACGGGCAGTATGGTTGTAACTGTACAGGAAACAAGACACGGTACGGGCAGTATGGTTGTAACTGTACAGAAAACAAGTCCTGTAGAAAATGTTCAAAAAATCTTGTTTGTTTACAATTAAACCAGTTCTAAAATTGTTCTGTTACGTCATAGTAAAATATGTAAACAAACCTCTATCTTTCCTTAGTTCTAGTTCTTCTCAATGCTATTGGTAAACTGTGATAGAAACCTACTTAATTATGTTTGATTGTGAGCTAGTGTACTATATTATAGAAACCCTAACCTTGCTGCGAACACATTTAGAAATATGACTATTTTGTTTGAAATTAAAAAGAAAATTTAAAAATACTAAGTTTCTCAGCAAAATGTTTTTATTTTTGAAATGCTTTCAGTCGTTCGACTTTTATGAAAAAATAATAGTTTTTGTTCTATTAGTGCACCATACACCGAACTATAGTGTTCAGTATATGTTCAGTAATAATACACAATGAATATAATAAATACAAAATAATTTTGTTTAATTTTTTGTGAACTACTCAAGGAACAGTTGTGTACTGTAAGGACTGGGCATATTCCTCTTTAATAAAGAAACTTGAAATGAAATTAATTACAAAGAAAATCCCTTTGGTAAAAGAGAAATAAAGGAAAAAATGTTGTCAAAACTTTGAAATAACAAAGGCAAAATGTTTTTTAATAATAATGTAGTTTTTATTATTAAAACGACGATCTAGAGAAATTGTTTACGAATTCTGATGTATTTTTTATCCTAAAGAGCTTGTTCTTGTGTTTCTAAAAATTATTATAGGGAAAAATCAACGAGAGTCAGTTCGTCCAAAGCCCAAAAAATATGTTCTTTTATTGTCCTTTTCCCTTCATTTAAATATAATATCTGAAGTTTCTTTTATTTTTTTTTAAGGAAGTGTTCACGAAAAATGAGAAAGGGTATTATATAGGCTGATTAAATAGAATTCGATAGTGATCGCTACTTATTTTACTTCTATCTGTTGTGTTTATCCTCGAAATTTCAGGAATTATTATTTTCAAAAGTAACACAAGGATCCAGGGGCGGATTAGATGGGGGTCCGGGGCCCACTGGCCCCGCCCTGAGCTTCTGGAAAGGCCGGCCTTTCCTAAGGACATTTTAGTATATGAAATAATAGCATCAAGTATTCAGACGTAGCAAAAATAGAATTAAGTAAATGACCTGAAATAGTCGTTAAAATTGTTTTCTCATCTTATTATTTATACTAATTAACTAATTCTCCTTGATTTATCCTACTATGCATACATCATTACAGAGAGGAAGTGTGAGAACTGGCGTTTACAGATCGAAAGGACGATAAATGGAGATTACAGATAGATAATAGGAGAACTGGAGTTTACAGATAGAAAGTAGAAGAACTGGAGTTTACAGATAAAAAGAACGATAAATGGAGACTACAGATAGAAAGTAAGCGAACTAAAGTTTACAGATAGAAAGTAGGAGAACTGTAGTTAACAGATAGAAAGTGTGAGAACCGGAGTTTACAGATTGAAAGTATGATAACTGGAGTTTACAGATAGAAAGTAGGAGAACTGGAGTTTAAAGATTGAGAGTAGGAGAACCAAAGTTTACAGATAGAAAGTAGGAGAACTAGAGTTTACGACAAAAAGTAGGAGAGAACTAAATTTTACAGATAGAAAGTAGGAGAACTAAAGTTTACAGATAGAAAGTAGGAGAACTGGAGTTTTGCAGGCAGAAAGTAGGAGAGAACTAAAGTTTACAGATAGAAAGTAGAAGAACTGGAGTTTACAGGCAGAAAGTAGGAGAACTAAAGTTTACAGATAAAAAGTAGGAGAACTGGAGTTTACAGATAGAAAGTAGGAGAACTGGAGTTTACAGATAGAAAGTAGGAGAACTGAAGTTTACAGATTGAAAGTAGGAGAGAACTAAATTTTACAGATAGAAAGTAGGAGAACTGGAGTTTACAGATAGAAAGTAGGAGAACTGGAGTTTACAGATAGAAAGTAGGAGAACTAAAGTTTACAGATAGAAAGTAGGAGAACTGGAGTTTACAGGCAGAAAGTAGGAGAGAACTAAAGTTTAAATATAGAAAGTAGAAGAACTGGAGTTTACAGGCAGAAAGTAGGAGAACTAAAGTTTATAGACAGAAAGTTGGAGAACTAGAGTGTGTAAACTTATATTTTTTGAACAAATAAGAAATAGGAATGTATTCCTTTTTATTTAAATTTTAGGGTCCTTACTCCTTACTGCTCTGATCATTTAAAATAAAATTAGTATGAATGATAAAGTACACAATAGTTTCATACAAATCATAATTACAGGCAGACCACATTTTGAAATGTGTCCCACGAAACATGACAGTTGGTAAATAGCTTAGAATGTCTTCTTCCATAATTTTTTAATTTGTTTGTCATATTAAAGTAAAATCAATTTCAAAGTAAAATATATTGAGCAACAGATTTTTTAAGCGAAATAAACTGCAAACAGCCTTTAATATCTAAGACAGTGTATAGAAGACGACATTCAAAACTATTTACCAACTTTATGTTTAGATATTTTTTTCAACAACCATAATTTAAGCCTCTATATATTTCAGGGGATATTAGTTCCAAAAATAACACTTGGCCCATTTCTAACACTGTGTATTAGAAATGGGCCAAATCTGGAAAGTTATCTTTTTCAACAGTATATCTTTAACGCGACAATGTTTCAAATTCAGGATATGTTCAAAAATGGAAAACCTGACGTTGTCTTGAAAACGGTCAAGAGATTTATATAAAAAGAACTTCTATCATAATTTTGGTTTTTTTAAAAAGTTTAAAATTGGGAATTGTTGTCCTTGTCACGTTAAATAAAATATTGATTATAGTTTTACTCTCAACTTTTACTCTGGAATGGGCCGGGATCCCAAAAACCAAGTCTATAGATTTGTGCCCATTTCTAACACTCAGTGTCAGAGATGGACTAAGTGTTAATTTTGGAACTATAATATCTCCTGTATTTATCAAAATCAAACTTTCTTCTTTAAGTAAAGTGATCACAATAAAACAGATAGTCAACTTCTTTCTTTCTCCTATTGCTGAATATTTTTTTATGCTATTTTGAAATATTTTGTCATATCAAAAGAAAGAATGAAGATGAAAATAAATTCATTTTTTTCTCACACTTGCATTAGCTTCAGATTAGTTTTGCTAAAAAAGTTGTTGTTGTCCATCGATTATTGTAAATTTACAGCTTTTGAATGTCGTCTTCCTAGTAATCTTCATTACAGTTATCGAGGTGGATACCTCTTTGAACTACCACCGTTTGAACTATTGTTCGTTCGAACTATTGTTCATTTGAACCACTGACATGACGTCATATCCTGTAGTTCAAATCAACACATTACTTGCTTACTTGGACTATTTTTCTATAAATTCAGTTTTGTTATAATTTATGAAGTTAGGTCGTACAATTAACGATATAGTTAAAACAAATACAACAAATAATTCAAATGAACATAAAATAGTTTAAATGAACCAAAAAATAGTTCAAATGAATCAAAAAATAGTTAAAAAACAAAAGTGTTCAAATGAAATTGTTCAAATGAACCAAAAAATAGTTTGAATGTATCAATTAGGGTTAGATTAGGTTAAGACAATTTGAGGGCCGAGCGCTGCGGCTAGGACAGGCTAAGGGGCCGAGCGCTGCGGTTAGGACAGGCTAGGAGCCCGAGATCTGTGGCAAGTAACAAAAAAAATAGTTCAAATGAACAAAATAATATAGTTAAAATGTATGTATTTTTATGATTAGGTTACGACGATTTCTGGACCGAGCGCTGCGGCTAGGACATGCTAGAGGGTCAAGCGCTGTAGTAAAGGAGGTGCGAGAGGGACGAGGGCCACGGCTATAAGACAAGCAGGTGGCAGGCGCTGCGGCCACAAATTTATAAAATAATGATGCCAATGTATTCAAATAAAAAAAAAATTTTAATTAGGTCATTTGAAAATGATTATTTTTTATTTTGTTCATATGTACATAATGTTTAAATGTGCAATTGTACGTTAGTCTAATCGGCCATTGGTCCTATCGATTTAGCATCCTTAGATGATT